TCAACTGTCTTACTCACTCTCTCTTTCTCTTTCTCTCTTTCTCTCTTTCTCTCTTTCTCTCTTTCTCTCTCTCACTCTCTCTCTCTCTCTCTCACTTTCTCTCTCTCTTTCTTTCTCACTTTCTCTCTCTCTCTCTTCTTTCTCTTCTTTCTTTCTTTCTTTTCTTTCTTTCTTTCTTTCTTTCTTTCTTTCTTTCTTTCTTTCTTTCTTTCTCTCTCTCTCTCTCTCTCTCTCTCTCTCCTCTCTCTCTCTTCTCTCTCTCTCTCTCTCTCCTCTCTCTTCTCTCTCTCTCTCTCTCTCTCTCTCTCTCTCTCTCTCTCTCTCTCTCTCTCTCTCTTTCTCTTTCTCTTTCTCTGATATGAATTAATCATATGGTGTATCTTTCAGGTGAAACCTACTATCAAAACATCACTAGACAATGCATGCGAAAGTGGGGATGTTTCAGATCTTTTGAATAATTTGTTGGATCCAGCTCTTAGTGTGCTGTGCAGTGACCTCCCAAGATCACATTTTCTTAACTTTTTAGCCAGCCTTTGGGACTGCATTGTTCTCCTTCTCCAGATGAAGTTGAAAGATGAAAGTAAGGTAAAGTACATATACTTTTTTTGCTATAAGCTGAATGGTTTAGGCATACATGCATAATCACAGTGTAAATATGGAGTGCAAGATACTGTTGGATAGATATACAGTAATAATGTTGAGTATAGATAACTGTTCATTACAGTAATACTTATAGAGAGAAAAGATATGTCGCCACTTTGTATTTGGAAAATGATTCTATGTAACTGTTTTGTATTCAAATTTTGCACATTTGTTGAATAGCAAGAATGGAGAATAATTGTTGTAACAGCATAAAGAAAAGATGCATTTAACATTGCTTAGATAAATGCTTGATGAATTGTTAATTTTAAACTTAAGTTTATGTTATTACTCAATAATGATTTCTATCCATTCTGACTTCTCATTTTATTTACAATTGATGCAAATTTTTATATCTTTTTTTTTCCCTTTTTCTTCAGATAAGGAAGAATGATTACTTTGAGCAGATGAGCTATGTGTTAAATGAAATTTTGAAATGTTTTACACCATCAACTGACATTGGACTGGATGTCAGGGCAAAAACACCAGGTTAGTCGAGTATTATGAGTATTAATGTTAATGGAAAATGTACTACATGTTTCTGTTCTTATTTTGTGCTGCTTCGAGTACTTTCTATTGATACCATGTGGAACTAGATGTCATAAACTATTTTTGTGATTGATAAAGCTTCTTGAGAGGATTTTTTACATTTTTGATATTAAGAATATCTTTACTCTAGTTTGGGTTTATTGTTTGTTGCAGAACTAATTTTATAAAATCATAACATTTTAGCAATTTTCAAGTTTGTTTTCAGAGGTCTCTAGAAATAGGAAATGATGAAAAATTATGTAATGGAGTGATTCAATAAAGAAATGGGATTAAATTACAAGAAGCTACATCATCACAAAACTTAATGTGCAGTGATGAGAGAAAGGAAGAGTTTTTCAAACTATTTAGATGTATTTGGAAAATAAATGTGAATTATCATAAGAGGAGCAAAAAACTTGTCCATATAATGCATTTAAATTGGGACCATAGAAAAAAAAGATTGAAACATTTTTTTTTTTCTTCTTCTTCTCTTCTTTCATGTTTGAAAAATCTTCCTAAAACCAACTTTCAACTTCAGGTTACATGTCTCTTGTGCAAGAACTGGAGCTTTTGAAGTTAGACACAAATGAGCTCATCAGCCATTACTATCAAAACCGATGGAAGGAACAGCAAGACCTACAACAACAGGAAACGACAGCGACATTAGTTGTAAGAGTAAGTCCGCTGAGCCTTGGAATAATTGTAGTTTTATTATCACCATGTTGTTTTTTTGTTTTGTTTTTCACTTATTTTACAGAGGAGGAAAAGACATTGGGTTAACTTTAGACGTAGTATTATAACTTATTTTCTGTATACCATTGCCAAAATACAGAAGGACTATCCTGAACTTTTGATACCTAATGCAGTCACCCACATTTTGATTGATTGTAATATACTGTGGAGTGATAATACATTTTAATGGCTAATTTCTTTTACTCATATCTAAAATGTTATGATTTATAACAAATTTCATTTTATGTAGAAAAGTGTTCTTGAGAATCACATTTTACATCCACAGACCCACTTTTCGGATAGTGGAACACTGAATGTTTCAGTCATCATGGCAGATGACAGGGCCACAGCAGAGGAAAATAACAAATTGATAACAGCTTTGCCCTCATATTATGTGAAGTTAGAGCTTATTCCTGAAGACTGGAGTTTAAGAAGAAGTGAAAAGACACAGGCCCTAAGAGAAATTCCAGCAACTTTTGATGAGGATTTTGTCTTGTAAGTTGTTCCATTCACTTTAGGTTTATGCTTTATGGTAGAACACGCCCTTTTTATATTTAAATTTTTTTTTTACATTCCACTGATCCTAAAGAATCGGGTAAAC